AGGATATGGGATACGAGTTTTTATTGAACTGAACACAACTCCTCTCCACTTTTCAGTTTAGGAAGACATCATCAATGTTCTCTTTTCTAGAGAGACGAAACACTACCTTGTGATTGAGACGATCTTCAGAATTGTCAGTGCAAGGAGAAGAGACATTTCTTTGGGGCAATTACAATTAATTTTCAGCTTACAACAAAAAATATAAAATCTGTGCTTTCTAAGTCACCCTAGCGTGCAAGATGCTTCCCCCAATCCTTCATATAGAGTGCAATACTCCGAGTATTAAGGATTATTTTTCAGCATGACTCCCAAAGGAATGTGGGGATACGGGTTACACAGCCATCAGGAAGTTGGCTCTTTCTGTACATTGTTTAGCAGCCAAAAAGAATGCCAGGCTGCAGAGAAAGTAGCCAAAACAGATTCCTTTTATGGTGTGATAACATTTTGTTCAAGAGACAGCCCTCTTCTTTACTGGCAATGCCTCAGAACCCACTCCTCACAGAGAGATAGAGGTTTCTAATGAATAAACCAGGCCTGGCTGGGAGTATTTCACTCTAGGAAAGTAAAACCACTCACCCATAGTTCTGGAAGCAATATGATCAAATGCTATAAAGAACTTTCATTTTTTGGCAGCCTCTATCCCCAAACTTCTCTAACATGAGACTTTTAAGCAAGGTCCCTATTCTTAGATTCGCAACACCCCTATTGTTGCCAAGAGTTTTGCTGCTCCGGGTTATTTTATTTTCCTAAAGTACATTTTCTTCATGAGCCTCATCAACAACAACCTCTCCTACAACTTAAAATAGATTTTAAGCTTTGTGAGGCTTTCCTGTGTAACTCAGGTTCAAAGTGTTTGTTCCTATATAGAAACAAGTCTTGCTTAATCACTTTTATTGTTCTTGGCCACATTTCTTGGATTAAGACACTTTATAACAGGAAGAGACACAGTGGCACATATACTAAACTAACATAACCTTTTGTTGTGAACACCGAGAAGCGAAGATTAAAAGCCCAGGTCCTTCAAACACAGGCTACATAAACAGCAATAAATTAATATTTTCCACAAATACAATATTTCTGTCATGCGAGAAAATGTGGGAAACCAGTTAAGTGTTTTTAACTGGATTTCACAGTGAAGATTTTTTTCACTTGTTAATTAAGCCTATTTCTAGTCTAAGACATGAATGAGGTTGTTGCCACCAAGCAACCTTTTGACATTTAAAGATAACATATCAGGCAAGAATTTGGGTAGGCAGTGACATACCACCGTTATCATCATCATCATCACCATCATCATCAAATATTTATGGCTGTTTACTCTGCTGAAATACAAAATATATCCCAGAGGGTGTAATCAATTTTGAATGTTTCCCATAAATTCAAAGTAGCTTTCCTACTTTTGGAATGTACAAAATTAGTAACTTCCACACGTGATTTAGTAAGAGAAGAAAAAAATTTAAATATAGTTGAGCAGGTTCAAATTTAAGTACAGAAACATGAAATTTGTAAAAATGTGAAAAGCAGCTTCATTGTGCTATTTTATCCAACAAGTCTTTGTTCCTAGTTAATAGAAATCCTAAGTAGTATAGGAAAAAAAAAGTGTTTGGGAGCACTTATTTATAAAATTGGATAAACTTACCTAATGGTTAAAGCTCTTTCAGAACATGCTCTATTTGATATAGTCTATCTTAAGTGTGGGCTCAAAAGTAATTTATAGTTTCTTTAATTTTCTGAAATCCATATTGACTTCCTCATGTATCTAAATTAATACTCCTATCTTTAATATAAGCTTCTTTCTTTGGCATAATATCCCATTTATAACTATAACAGAAAAGTTAAAAAAAAACCTAGATTGAAGCAACTCAGTAGCTCTTCCACAACACAATGTGTTTGTAGTACCCTGAATCTATTTCTTCTTCAAAGAGGTGGATTTAAAGTCTCTTCCCAAAAGCCAAAGGTCAGTGAAGTCCACCAAGCTTCTTCGCCACACCCGGCAAGAAATATATTTTATTTTGTCGGCTTAATAATATTCATGAGGAGCAGAAAAGACGTGAAAAGACCACAACAACCAAGCCGGCTGTGGAGGAGACATCATGTCGTGATCACACACAAACACAATATTCTGAATTCTGTCTGTTTACCAGCATGCAGTGGCTGGGAGTGAGGTGATAGTTTGAGGACAGGAAGAACTCACACAGACAACACGATGATGTGGGTGATACTACTCAACGCCTTAGAAGACTTAATTTCATTAGATGCCACATTTAGTATTTTTTCTAAATAATATAACGTGTTTACAAGTAAACAGATGTGATAGTCACTTACTATTTCACGGATACAAATAAATCTTTTGGGCAAGAGCAATATTGCACTCTATCTCAGATCACTCCCAAACTGAGAAATAACTCAATTTCAAGTGACCAATTCCTAAAAGACATGTTTCAAGTATATCCAGTGATTAAATCAGAATTAAAGGCCTTATAATAGAATAACACAAGATGACCATCTTCTGGATCACTTTAAAGCTTGCCTTCATTACTATTTTATGTTTGCACATTTATATCCATGCAGTACATTTTATAGCTGGTATCAAAAATAATTATATATCTATATATAGTATCTGGATTTCAAAAAAGTTTAGAGGATGTCCATATATTTTTCATATACTCTTATACAATACTTCTGAGAGGTAAGAAAGATGCTTTTTCTTAATTTTCTCCATTTAGTTATCAAATTCTTTCAAAGAGCACACAATTCAACACAAGAGAATAGGTCTCAAACATGGTAATATTATTATTATTTTTTAAATTGATAAATATTCTTTTATTTTATACTCTTTGTGACATTTTCAGCACAAGTATTCAATCTCATGGGGATATTAAAACCCACACTAGGCGGGTGTCCAGTGTGTTCAGGTCCTAAATGTTAGGAGATGCAGCCATGGGCACTCACAGGCCAAGCCTGGGATTCCTCAAGGGGAACTACTCATCCACGTCACCTGCCAGGGTGGATGTGCTTCCTCCCAGTGATGGGTGACCTCCACCAGGAAAACATGGTAATATTTTAAGTAAAACACATCAGCAAAGAAAAACAGAACAAAACCAAAAATGACCAACACAAGTGGGAGAAAAGAGAGAGTCGAGCATGAAATTAAATAATTACAGGCAGAAAACAAAATTTAAAGCACTGGGTGTTTAATGGTCTCTTTATTTCCTTCTCCTTTCCATTACCTAGGAATTCATCACAAAACTCTGTTTATAGCGTGCCACACAGTCCTCTTCAGCCCTCATCAACTTCAGTGGTTTCTCTGTTCTTGCCTTAAATAAACCTGAGATCCATACTCCAGTATATTCTTTCTACCCTCTGTGCGCAGGTAGGTGCAAAAAGAACACCATCATATCAAAACCAATTTTACTAATGTTCCAAATATATAATATGAATTTTAAAATTATATTATCTAGTTATTAGAATTTAAAAGTCTATATCATTCTAGAAGAAAAACGTCATCTATACCCCAAAATTTCTCAGTGCACATGGACTTAGCATAACCAGGCAAAGTTAAACCTATTGCCTTATTAAGGACTATTGGGGAAAATGTCACAGCAGGACAGGAATAGGTAAATAAACAGACCATTGCATATGCTTTCCCCTTTGTGGTTGGGAGGAGAGGACAGATGTCTTAGGAAGACACTGAAACAAAATTTATAGACACCACTATGTTCCCTTCATCAGGCAATTCCAAGTAGTTAACATTCTGCTATGGCAGAAGCAAGAAAACTCAAAATGGTCAGATGTATTAGAAACCTACAGAAGTGAAGATTAGATATACAAACCTCTAGATTATCCTAACAGTAACCTACACCTTACTTAACTAAAAATAAGTTAAGGCCACTTACAAACCTGCCTAGGATTTTTTTCAACCCTGATGAAAAGCAAAGGCACTCCTATGGGAATGCGCTGAAAACCCATTTTTGGCTGCAAAGTAAAAAGGAGAAGAGCTGTAATTCTCAGTAGCCAACTAAATCAAAACTAAAAAAAACACTGGCATAATTATCTGGCAAACTTATGCTAAACCTGTTTCATTAGGAATTTTGAACTTTGAAGATGGGTAGAAACTTGGCATGCAGCACAAACCTTACTAATCAGGTACTACCCTTTTTATACACCAAGGTGATGCAACTGACATGAGTCAAGGTTACACTCAGGCTTGAAGTTGGAGATCTTGTTTTTACAGTAGAGAAAGATTTGGTAAAACAGCTTCCCTCTCTCTCCCTGACATCCCAGCTGTGAGGCAAGGATTTAGAATTTGACCAGACAGCATCCGGTTGTAAAGTCTAAAACCAAAGCCTTAAAATAACTGATGTTCTTAACTTCAGGGCTACTCAGGGGCATTTATGTTACACTGTCCTGTGCATAATCAATCAATGCAGATTACTAAACCATCCTCAGCAAACATTGACCTAATTTAGTGGGATGCAAAGACAGCAAAGTTCATATCTGGCTGGAGTTGCTCAGTGCTCTTGCTTAACATTCTTAAGGAAACTTAAAGTGACTGGGTTCACTCAGCACTAGGTAGCAAAGCCCAGTGCTACCAATAACCTCCAAAGACCAGTAAGGCCTTCTATCTTGTGCCCCTGATTTGTTCTAACAACCAGACTCTTTTTCACTTCCTTTCTCCTCCAAACTCTACATGAATATCTGAAGATAACATACCTACAACCTTATAAGCACTAATTAGACAAAGTATAAATGATGCAATATAAATCATATTTTTTAAAATCTTGTCATATTGACATGCAGAACATTCTAGCACCAAGAACAATATTAACAACACTACACATTTATTACAAAAGATATCTCTTAAAAGATTTTTGTGTAACTTACTCCAAAGAGTGATAAGGAATTACAAAGAGGAAAAAAAACTGATAGAAATGAAAGCATAAGGATTTTGTATTTCTTTCACTGAATTTGATTACAACTTTAATATTAAGTTAACCTACCTCAAGTTTAGGTAAGTCAGCATCTGCAGATTGACGATGGCCTCAGGAATGACTCTGATACAGTTGTGATACAGATTAAGGATTTCCAGTGATACAAAATGGCACAATTCCATTGGAACTTCAACCAGTCTGTTTTTAGATAAATCTACGAGAAAGGGGAAGAATATATTGTCAATAAATCTTCAACATAATCAATATGATCTTATCAACCATAAGCAGTTTTTCTTAACACTATAAATTTAGACCAGCATTATCTTTTTTCTGTACCTCTGTTACTACGGCATTGTGATTTCTATTTCCCTGCCAGATTCTGGGACACATGGGATATGGAAAAGCAAAAATACTGCTAAAACTTTTTAGTTCTCTAAAGATGCAAATGACATATTTTGCAGCATGGTTTGAAACAGCAAAAGATGGAAAACAAAATAGCAGAGGGCTGGTTGAATATTAATATACTGTTAACAAATATTATAAAAATACTAAAATTAAATTGATCTATGAGTATTAATATAATATTAATTCTATGTCATGTGATGGACTATAATATTAAACATTATATCCATAATGAAATACTAATATTATGCAGCCTTTATAATGAAGGAAGCAGCACTATATGTGCTGATATAAAACAAGCTTCAAGACATATTGTAAATGTTTTTGAAATGCCAGTTAAAGAACAGTGCATATAGCATTTGTGTTTTTTGATGAATATTTACAATTATGTTTCAATATAATTAGATCATTTCTGGAAGGCTATACAAGAAACTGGTAAAAGTGGTGGTTTCTGGAGAGGATCTCTGGCTAGGTGAACAGGAGTGAGAGAGGGGGAGACTTCTCTCACTGTAGATACTTTTGTACCTTTAGAAATATGAATGCATTACTTATTTGATTATATGTGATATGTAATACATATACATTATTATAACATACATAATAATCTATATTATATAAATACAAATAAATATATATATCATCCTTCCATCAGTGTTCTTATTCTCTCACTACACAAAGAATTCATTTCACTTGAAAAGACTTAAGAGGCCAGGACAGATGGCGAAGTCCCTTGTATTAAATTAAGGAAAATATTGCAGCAAGCTTCCTTTCATGGAAATTTGGAACCTAAACAGAAAAAAAATTCCAGAAGTCTCCCGTGTTCCTTCTTCCTGAAACTCGTTACTAGACATGGTGATTTTCATGTGTTACACTGCTGGAGATCTGCCCAGAAAACTTGTTTGTGTTGTTTCCTTCAGGTTCAACTCAAAGAAAATTCCAGTAAACTCAAAGTAAACTCCAGCTTACATTCCAATCTTTACCTTCCCTGAGAATTGCTAGAACTAGACTACCTAGTTGAATGGAAAAGATACAGAATACACATGAGTAGTATGCTTCAATAACTATTTGAAGTAACAGTAGTATGCTTCAATAACTACAACTATTTGAAGTAACAATCATGTTTTCATGATTCAGTGTCACTCATTTTTTTAAACAAACAAAGAAGCGTTTTTGTAGAAACACTGTCAAATAGCTACAAACCTTTTAAAAGATAATGGAACAGCAAATTAACAATAGAAACCACTCTGACCCGAGAGCAGAACAGCAGTTCTAAATCTCCAACCACCTAAGATACTTGAGAAAGTAACTCAATATTCTAGGCCTTTGTTTCCGAATAGGTAAAATTAAAGTGCATGAAACGAGTTGAGTTCTAATATTCCTTTCAAATCTAGAATTTCCGTGAATAAGTCAAATATATTCAGAACTTCAGTATTTTAAGTCAGAAGTATTCAGAATCCAAATTATTTTGTTTCATCATAATAATTAATAGCACTAATTAAATATTATAAAATGTTATAAAATACAAGCCCCCATATACTCTAATAAATATTGGCACATTCTTTAATGAATTTGTCATTTCACTGTAGAATCTATATTATATAATCTGAATTTTAGAAGTGTTCTGTTTTCAAATTTGGGGAAAATGCAATGCTGAGAGAAAGAAAATATAAAACAGCTTGTATAAATTAAGCTAATATCCAATTTTGGGCTAAACTTACAAATGGCATCATTATTAACAATTTGATAAAAAAACATGCTAGAAGAATGTTGTAATTAGTGTATAAGTCTGGCATTTTCATTATCATTCACAATACAGTTTTATTTGCTCTCCTTTCTTCTTATCTTTTCCTCCATAATCTCCAGATCTGAGGGGAAAGGTTGGCATTTTTCCTTCCCTGTAATTTCTCCCCTGGCCATCTGACTTTGCTAAGGGCTTGTGAGAGCCTCTCAAGAGGTGGGATTAGTTCTGCCTGTATACTAGTAAAACCTTAATTTTCCCCTCATTGTAAACTGAATCTAATCTCTTCTCTTTAATTTTTGTTCTTTAATTGTGCTATTTTTTTTTCTAGAGACTGAGACTCACGTTGTCACCTAGGCTGGAATGAGACGGCACAGTCATAGGTCACCGCAGCCTCAAACTCCTGGGCTTCAGGGATCCTCCTACCTCAGCCTCTCAAGTAGCTGGGACTACAGGTGCATGCTACCACGCCCGGCTAATTTTTCTTGTTTTTGTAGGGACAGGGTCTTGCTATGATGATCAGGCTGGTCACAAACTCTTGGCCTCAAATGATCTTCCAACCTCAGCCTCCCAAAGTGCTGGGATTATAGGTGTGAGTCACTTTGTTTGGCCTTAGTGCTATACTATATTGCTATTGAGCATTTTATTGCTATTGCTATTCTATCCTAAGTGTGTTATTCCTGCTTTCAGGATTCCTTTTTGAAAGGAGCCAGGCAATACATTATAAATAAATAAAGTTATAATATGTTAACAGTGGTCATCTGCAATGCCAGGTCTACACTGCTAGACAAATGAGGAAATCTCCATGTCCACTGAGTTAGTGAGAATTTACCCATGCAATAAATCCCCGATCATCCTGGGCTTGTGCTACAGTTTCTACATATAAAATCTATACATACCTTAAACTCTTTCAATGTCTATACAAAAACAGTGCCTAGATTGGCATTGTTCAAGTTAAAACAAAACTGAAAAGCAGAAAACCAAAAGCTTTCTTTTTTTCTTAGATTAATTAACCACATGCTGAATTATTTAAGTACCATCAATATATACTAAGGGTAGGGCATCTACAGACTTGAAAAACCACATAGGGCCTCTTTTTAAGGTATTTAAACTTTGCAAAGTAAGATGAGGCAAACCCAGAAAGAAACATAAGGCAGAATGCCCTAATTGTGCTTTTATAAAGGTACAAATAAAGAGCAAGGTGCTTGGTGGGACATGAAATACAGGTAGCATGCACTGAGCACTTTGAGCATGCCAGTCAGTGAAAGAAAGAAATCTAAGACTTAGCTGTAATTAAAGACACGAGTGGGCAGACAGTTCGGGGTGCTCAGAGAGATGTGAGTTTTCAGACCATGCCAGGAGGCACCACTATTGATCACAGACACATCAAGGTGTGAGCAATGAAGGTCCTCCAACTCAGGAAACAGGCAGAATAAGAGTTCACAGATAACAGGCAAATGTTAAGAAGGCAATTAGTATCTTTATCTTGAATGACAACCAAAACCAAGACAGGCAAATGAGCCAGGACCTATGAAAACACCCAGTGGGTTCTAAGCCATAGAAAGATAAGTAAGGTTTTAAAAGCTGGAAATACATATGGATGAAGAAATTGTGTTCGTTTTTGTTCTTTACTTCTCTAATTCTATTATGAACTACCTGTATAGAGGTATCAATAAATCAGCTTATGAGCTATTTTTCTAAACACAACATTTATTTGATTTATTTGCCTAGTGCTACTCAATCTTGCTGGCACACTGAAATCACTTGGAAAGTTTTTAAAAATCCTGCAGCCTGGGGCTCATAGCCAGAAACATCAGGGCGTGACTTGGACATCAGGATTCTTAAGATGTCCCCATCATGGGGACAGGAAACCCTGGTAAGCAGATGACCTAACCAATCTCACTTTCTGGACATAAACCAAGCCTAAACAGGTGATGCTCTCCTAGGGACAGAGGTGACCCCCAGAGAGGCTGCAGTTTGGATACCAGGCTAGTCCCTTATCAGGTATCCTAATTTGGGAAAGGAAATCTTATCTAATACAGAGTTAACTATTGCTAGATTAGACTCTTACTCTAAATTCCTTCTCAGTTAGTTTCGGATACAATCAGAGCTACAAAAATCCAACCTGGATTGGAGTTTTGCATGTTTAAATTGGCCTTGATCATAACAAATTAGGTTTTTTTTCCCCCTTACTTAATCCTCACCACAACCTAGTGAGGCAGGTGCTGTTGTCATTTCCAATTGTGTGCAGACACTTAGGACCAGAGAGGTTAGATCACTTGCCTGAGGACACAGAGCTAGTATATGGCAGAGCCAAGAATTAAACCAGGTTAGGATAATGCCAAAGTCTTGTCTTGAACCTTTACCGATCCTGCCTCATAGGACGGCAATACAGGCAATAGCAGTTGCTCATATGGGTATAGCTTATAAAAAAATAAATAAATAAAAATAACTGACCCTTTCCAGGTGGCTGGTCTGCGGCATTAGAAAGATTCCATAGCTCTGTACTAAAAGTAAGTGAACTCTGACAGGTCTCGGATATGTTTTTACAGAAAGAAAAGCACACGTTGTTGGTGCCTGGTTTCCTCCACTCAGCCCAAGATGGGCACTGTCCTTCCTTACTGGAAACCCAGCCTGGGGTCTAGACCTGCAGCAGGGAGTGGGGTACACCACAGATCTCTGCAAACACACCCAGGTGGCAAACCGGAACCCCAGAACTACGTCCTCCCCGTGTCTGCTTCTTAATTGAAGCATTCACATGAAAGCTGTGCAGCCAGAAATAAAACAATAAGAGCCACCACTGCCAAAACAAGCTCTGCAGATCCCTAAAATAAAGTAGCCAGATGAATAAAAATAAGCAGGGTAGGGTAGAAAAACAGTCAATGGAATCTTGCGTGCAGTCAGCACGATGGGAGGCACGGCGCTGTTGTGTGTGAAAAAGGAAAGTGGTGTCTCAGGAGGATCTGGATGAGGTCCCTGCTCTCCAGCAACAACATCCCAAGTTAGCAGCCACCGCAGCCACGAAGCAGACGTGCGGACAGGCCAGGACAGCTGGGAACCTCATTTGCAACGTC